AGAGATTTGGTTCTTTTGAAACTTGTGTCCACATAACCAAATAAATAAATAAATAGATTTGTCTTAATGTTTCAGGCCCAGAGGCTTCCACCTGTGAGACCACCCATTAGTCACTGAGGTCCAATTTTAAACCCTCAAACTGAGGACTGATAGCTTGATTTAGACTTCTGCAGGAAATCTAGGTCCTAACTGACATAACCAGAACCTCATTTTTCTCCTACACCACAACCTTGCACGCCATTCAAGTCTTTGTGGTTTGCACCGACCCGACGTCTAGTTACATTTCTCTGGAGGTGCACATCAGGTTACATAGAAGGTTCCGGTTAATTACGGCGTAGTTCTGACACAGAAGCATAATTCATGTGTTAGCCGCCGCTATCTTAGCTTTTTGAAGGTGAGGGGCGGGGCTGACCTTTCATTCGCATGGTAAACCATGGCTCGCTTTGAGCTGACTCTAATGTGACCCTAATTTAAAACACGTTGGATTTAAAAGGACTTGAAACCAACTGCCGCGACCATAAATGAGCAGAAGGCTTTTATCCTCATAGACTTCCATATAATGACACTTCTATTTAAACCAGAGGAGCTGCCCCCTGCTGGCCATTAGTAAGAATGCAGGTTTCTTCCATTTCATCAGTACTGGTTCCACTTCTACCACATCGAAACCTTCCTTTAATTGTTATTAAAAGTCTTCACGACAATGCGTGGATGGTTATAAAGTCCTTGGTTTTTGGTCTTGAGGCTCTGATTTCACATCAGCAGCATCTAGTGGTCGTTAGAGGAGCTGCAGTGTGGAGAAACCAGGGCAGGGCATTCTTGACAAATTGGACTCTTGGAGAAAGAAGAGCCTGAGAAAATTAAAAGATGAATCTTAATATAAACTGTTCTGGATGTTTCCATCTGCAGCAAAGAGCGCTGAGACAGATCGCTCATGCTGAACCTGCTGGGAGCCTTTTGTGTTTGATGAATGATCCTCCAGCTCGCTGATTCTCACTCTGCTGAATGTGGCATTTATAGAAATGTAGAATAATTCCTTCCATGAAGAATACATCGCAGTCAGCAGAGTACAGCTGCCTTCTGCATCCTCGGCCTCTCACTAACCGTTACTATCTGATGCTGTTAGTTGGACTCACCCCATTCGGGCGATGACTCGTCACGCTGCTCTCCGAGGTCGCTGAGGTCAATGGGGTCATGGCCCCAAACAGAGGCCAGGGTTTCCATGGAACAGTCAACAGTGTCTGGGCCGAGAGCCAGGGCCTGGAGCATGAGATGGTGATGTTGAAGAAATGGAGAAGGACGGGGAATCCCTACAGAGAAACAAATGAAGGGAGGGAGGGAGTGTGTTTTTATACTTGTGTATCTATCTTTGTGGGGGCTGTTTAATCCTTGTGGGGACACGTTAGCTGCTCCACACTTTGGCTCGCGGTTTCAAAGAGTTGTTTGAGGTTCAGACTAGTGTTGATATGGTGACGATCAACACTTCAGAACGCAAAAGTATATGGACACCTGAACACTGAGATATCTGTACAACATTTATTCAATGATGCTGTCTGCCCCCTACAGGCACCAAGAGGGACTGCAGAAACCCTGGTGTGTTTTTCAGCTGCATGAACAAGACCAAGCAAACTCTGATGGACCTCTACCAAGGCTGTTTTCAAGAATAAAAAATGTACCTAAAGAAGTGTGGCTACTCTTACAGAACAAAATAAATCTTTTCTCCTCACCATGAAAAATAGAGCCAACAAATACCAAAACAAACAGCCATTTTTATTCCACTTTTCATTGTTGTTTTGGTCTATTTGGGCCGACATTGCTGCTAAAACTGTCATAAAACTACTGCAGAAAAGGATCTACTACAGAAATGCTCCAGGGGATGTTAGGAGGCCACTCCTGTAAACATTTCTATGAGAGTGCACCTCTACAGGTCACAGATCACAAAACAGGAGCAGTAAAACTACTGCCTGCAGCAATACACAATGGGAAAAGTGCACACACTCCAATTAGTCGTTGTTTTTTTGTTTTGTTTATTTTTAGCTCATTCTGCACTTAAAATGAATTTAATACAACATTTTAAAATCAAATCCAAGTATTGGAGCTTTATTGGAATTCTGGAGTTGAACCTGGAACTAAATCGTCTGATATTTAGTGTTAAATTTTGGGGGCAGTTCAGCAGGGACTAGAAGATATTTCACCCAATGCTGCGCATGTTTTTAATATTCTTGCAGCGGTCACAACCTTCTTCATGGCTTATTTCCTTTGAAAGCGCTTCTGCAGACCAGAGTGTCCACTTTAATTATTACCCCTTCACCCATAATCCCCCCCCAAAATGCAAATCCTGTCATCCTGTCAAGCATGTGTGCTACTTGTGGATAGAAAGCAATTAAAAAAAGTTAAGTTCTGAAATATTACAGTAATGTTTTACTAAAATTTACGGAGCCCCGCAAGGGACATGGGAGAAAAAAAATTAAGACAGACTTTTGCGAGATCTTGCAAAACAAACTCAGGATCTCACAAAACTTTTAGCTGCATTCTTCGAAGCCGACCGGGAGGTCGAGGCACGATGTGCCGGGAAAGCGGTGTTCCTCCCGGCTGTAGTAGGTCTCGACCTCCCGTTAGCTTCGAGCTAGTGGGTGTCAGATCTCCGAAAACGTCGAAGCACTTTTGCAAATATGTGATGTCTTGTAAACCGAGCAGGTATCTGACGTTTACACAACTACATTCACGCCTCAAAATATCTTAAAAGTGTATTTTGTGACCCAGAAAGAGTAACATTACAACTAAGTAGCTGCCGCCATTGTTGGAATTCAAAAGTTTTGCGAGATCTCACAAAAGTCCGTCTTAATTTTTTTTCTCCCATGTCCCCTGCGGGGCTCCATAAAAATTAATGTATATAAGGTTAACTTCATTTATACATTAATGTTCTGTTACTTTTTAACTGCATATAAACTGACTGCCATGATGTTCAATCTGAACATATTCAGTAAAAAGACGAGATGTTACAATCCCTGATAATGCATCTAGTCCTTTTACTGAATATGTTCAGAATGACTGTCATTCTGAACATGCTCAGATCTGATTAATAATAATAATTTTAAAAAAAACATAAATATAACAAAAACCTTGTAAAATATTAACTGAGTGTGTGCCATGCATCATAGAGCTCAGATATTTTACACATTGACAAGAAACTCTTCAAAAAACATCAGAGATCTGCTTCTTATAGATTAGATTTAATGTTCTACATGCAGAACCGTTGCTTAACAGTCCAAATCCCACCTCTGTGTTGTTTTGGTTTTTGTGCCACCCCATTTAAAAACGCCTGGAGACTCCCCCGTGTCCCTTTGAATCTCTTAATTCAGACAATTCAGGGGAAAATGGACTCTAACCATGGGGGGTGGGGGGGTCACTTTAGTCAGAATATTCTCACTACTTTGTAAAACTCTTATTTAACACAACACTACTGTATTTAAACTATTTGTAATCCATCTGAATGAGTTCATGAAAATCAACTCATAAGTCTTTTTTCACATTTCTGATTAAATATTCCCACTTCCTGTGGGCTCGCTCATGTTTAAAAGTCCTGGAAACGCCCCTGACTGTAACTGTTATAATCATTAAATGTGTAAAGTACCGGCATAAGAATGGATAGTTAAAAAACTGAACACTGGATTAAAATAACTGCACCTTTCTCAGTAAGCACAATCATTTTCCCGCTGTTTGACCACAGATATGAAGCTGTTTAATAAAACCTTTTAAAATCTATTTTAAAACTCCGCTGCGCCTCTCACTGCACCTGCCTGCGTTAAAAAGTCCACACTTTAAAGCAGCTGCGTGTTCATCGTGTTTTCTACCTGCAGAGACTCAGAGCGCAGGAGAGCCGCGGGGCGCAGAAGTCTTCCCGGGTTTTCGGAGTGCGTGTTGCGCGTAAAGCTCAGCGGACTCTCGCTCGGGTCCCGAAAGAAGCGGAGACGGGCTGAAATGTCGCGATGCTCGGTTGAGGGTCCGGCCAGACTGCAGCCGACTGCAGCTCTCACAGGTGTGCGTGTGCAGATCCGTCTGTGCAGTCAGCTGTCGGGACGGAGCTGAGGGTCCCCCCTGCAGGCACGGCGCGGAAAAACTCCTGAGTTCATTCATTCAGGCGAAAGCGGCTCAGCGCACTTTGTGGAATATTCAAAAGAGAGCCACACGTGACAGGATCAGTGGGCAGACTGCAAACAGCATTATGTGATACTGTAGGGGTGTCAAACATAAGGCTCTGGGTCATGTTAAAGAAACACAGCTGTAGTAAAGGAAAACAATCAGATTTGTGCTGTAAATGTGTAAAATTACAGAAAAGGTATTTTTCTGTAGTAAAAGTGTCTGCAGTGGGACCAGAGAGTTAATTGTTTATTACTCATTACTTTGGTGGGGTGTGAGTGGGAGTACGGGGGTTGTTCTCAGCAGGACAACAATCATGAAAATTAAAAGTTGGAAGTCCAAAATGTTTGCACTCTTTCATATTTTAAAAATGTCGTCCAGATGGTCGCGTTGGAGTCTCTGCTGGCCGGTTCTGGCCCGGGGCCTCATGTTTGACACTCATAGGCCCAGTCCTTGAGCAGTCCTGGAGAACCACGACTGTAAAATAGACTTCTGCTCCTGCTGTGGATGCGAGCGATGGGAGGGAAGAGATGTTTTCAGATGTGGTTGATGGAGCTGGAATGAAAATGGATGGATCAGGTTTTAGGTATTAGGTACACCTGTTCACCTGGTCTCCTTAAGACAAACCTTTCATTAGCCAATCACACGGCAGCAGCTCAGTGCATTTAGGCATGACCAGGATCTTCACAGGTTTGAATGCAGAGATGGAGCAAGTGTAACCTGTCTGCAGCTGCTAGTGCTGAGATCACTGACACACGCACACACACACACACACAGAGTTAATCTGCAGTCTGACAGCAGGTCTGTTAAACTGCAGCAACAATTAGGAGTCTAATTCACAGACCGGCATTCCAGCGAGGTGACACATTAACGGAGGAAGAGGGACGAAGAAGAAAGGGAGGAGGAAAGAAAGAGGAGGTGCGGGCAGATACATCATTTATTTTTATTTGAGTACAATACAGCAGCTCTCTGCTGGGTCAGAGGTCAGAGGTCGGCTGCAGCAATGGCTCTCAGGCTCAGATTGTTTACTCTGGTCTTGAAAGTCAAGATCAGGCGTCAGGCAGCTCTTCACCACCAGCTGAGGGACAAATCTGTTCCCCCACCCCTGCTGTGAGACCGCTAAACCATTAAAAATGACTTTCCCCATCAGCTTTTGTGGCTGGTTAAGCGCTTGTAGATGGGGTGGAGTCTGGGGGGTTAATGAGCTCCACCAGCAGACCTGCTGCTCATCAAATAGCAGCAGTGTGAACACGGCGGCCATATGCCGAGCCTGCAGGAGAGGGCAGGTTCAGCACAGTCATGGAGGAGGCAGTTAAAGGAGCTCTACAGGTTTAAGATTTCAAAGTTTCCCAGAATGAATGAAAAACCCAAAACTAAAACTAGGCGTGACAAACGTTTTATTCACTGAATTAAGAATAAAAAGTAGAGGCAGAACTAAAACTGTTGTGTTATATAATTGTTGCTTACCTGCTGAGGCTCTGGTCATTTTATTTACCGACATCTGAAAAATACCATTAAAATATAATAAAGACTGAAACTACGGAGCCCCGCAGGGGACATGGGAGAAAAAAAATTAAGACGGACTTTTGCGAGATCTCGCAAAACAAACTCGGGAGCTCACAAAAGTTTTAGCCGCATTCTTCGGACGCTGGCTCGAAGCCGACCGGGAGGTCGAGGCACGATGTGCCGGGAAAGCGGTGTTCCTCCCGGCTGTAGTAGGTCTCGACCTCCCGTCAGTCTCGACCTCCCGTTAGTCTCGATCTCCCGTTAGCTCGAAGCTAACGGGAAGAATGTGGCTAAAACTTTTGCGAGATCTCCCAAAGCTTTTGCGAGTTAGTTTTGCGAGATCTCGCAAAAGTCCGTCTTAATTTTTTTTTTTCCCATGTCCCCTGCGGGGCTCCGTATGAAACTGATCAAAACCAAACCAATAAAAGCTGAAGTGAAACGAGCAGCCTTCCAGTACAGACAGGAAAGTCTCAGATTAATCCAATCCAAATTTATGGATTTATGGATTGAGTTGCATCATAGGTGGGGTCTGGGGAAAAAATGGATCTGGATCCAGGAATTGGACATTGTGACAAACTTGTTCCAAATCCACCATCACAGCTTCAGATACTGCTGGGATGATCCTC